TAATCCCCACATGAGCAGAGCTTCTTCCTCTGGCAGCCTTGGTACTGCATGCTGTCAGTCAAGAGACTCAGTTTCCAGAGCTTCAAGAGAGCCCAACCCAACTCCAGCATTTCACTGTCATTACTCAAATGCCTCAGGTGGACTGTGTCTACCTCTTTGTACCTCGTACCTCAGTAGTCACTTCAAGGTTACTGACCACTATAACCCTATGATGGAAAGCCAGGAATGTCTTCCACAACCCATCCTACATAAAACCTAACTGAATTCCATTCATCGTTGAGCAAAACCAATGTAAATTACATTGTATTCATTTGTCTGTATTTAATCTTTATTTGTATTGATATGCTATCATTATTTGAGAATTCCATGGTTGCAGAGCATGAGTGTGCATTTGTGTGATTCTTTAATTTCAGCTGCCTTGGTTTGGGGTATAAAGGAAGGTAAGTGGGTTTTGTGAATTGCAAAACTTTGGCCATTGCTTGCCACACTTAGTGGAAAGGAGATACTAAGTATTTTATTGGTGATCTTGAGCCATTCATCCTTCATCTATATTTAGTGGACAAAGTGTCTTACCTGTTATTTCTGCCGCTCATAGCAGTGTGGTAACACAGAAGTAGGGTCTTAGAAGACCACAATGTTCATAACTACCACACATAAGTCTAGTATGACAGTGGTGTTTCACTACTTTGGAAAGAACAGTTTACCTGGTGATTTACGAAACAAAAATCAAAATGAAATTTAGGAGCGGTAGATGGCTCAGCAGGTAAAGATGCAGCCCCGAAAGCCTTAACAATCGAGTACAGTCTCCGGGACCTTCATGGTAGAACTGACTCTCCACAGGTCCTCTGAGCTCCACACATATACTCCAGGTATGCTTGTTAGATGCGAACACACAATAAATACACATTTAAATGATTCACCTGAAGGATGTTTTAGATACCCGTTTCCTTTCTTTGTTTACGATCCCTAATGTGCACGTGTGTGCGTCCACACACGCGCGCGCTCTCACACGCGCGCGCTCTCACACACGCACGCACGCACGCACGCACGTTTTCTCCTAAGAATGCCAATGCCGGGGAGAGACCCCTTTCTCTAAAATCCCTGCTGACAAGTACTAGCATTTTATGTTTCTTTAATTCAACCCAACAGGAAATCATTCAAAACAGATTCAAAATGCCAGTAAGCAGCTGGCATTGGCTCCTTGTTGAGAATCCTGAGTGGCTTATTCTTTAACAGGCCAACAGATGTCACTCCTGCTTTTGTCATCAAGTTCTGTGTCTCCTTAAAGCCAAATAATGGCTTACTTTCCATATACTTATATACGTACTTAGGCTCTGGATCTTTTATAACAGTCCACGCTTTTCAAGTTAAGATGTAGTTTTGTGTACTGCGAGATCCTGTCGCAATGCTTGGAGAATCTGAGTTTGGATTCCCAGTACCCAAAATAAACAGCAAGGAGCAGCAGTGCATGCTTGTAAAACTGCAAGGTTGGGTAGTGACAGGAGGATCCCTGGGGCTTGCTGGTCTAGTCTAGCTAATCGCAATCTTCAGATATTGTGTAAGGAAGCAGCTAGGGGTTGTTCATCCCTTTGGCCCAACTTGGCCTGCAGCTGTCTCACCCTGTGTACTCAGTAGGAATGGAATCTGAGCCGCTCTAAAGAAGTATCACTGTGTGGTTTATATGTGATCCCTGACACTCAATTCAGATCTCTTTTCACGTGACTATCACTTGGAGAGATAACAACCTTTAAATCCCCCGTTGTTGCTTCAGGTTCTATTTCTTTTTTTAGTGTTTGAAAGCACCCTGAACACTGGGTGTTTGGCCCCACTGAGAACATTCAGTCTCCCCAGAGTTCACTTTGCCCTGGCCCATGTAGCAGGCAGGGTGGGGGGAAAGGCGGAGCCTGACCTTCTTTTTCCTCTGCAGGGCTGTCTTCTGCATTGCCTCCACCTCCTCCACCACCTCCGCCTCCACCAGCAGGTCCCTCGACAACCTCAGGCACAGAGGTGCCTGTCCCGCTCCTGCCCCAGGATATGAATGGCGTGAACCGTGGGGCCTTGCTCAGCTCCATCCAGAATTTCCAAAAGGGAACTTTGAGGAAAGCCAAAACCTGTGATCACAGTGCTCCTAAGATTGGCTGATGTTGCCTGTTCACACTGGGAGGGGAAGCTCTGGGCTGTTCCACTCCTACCCAAGTCCCTCTTCCTAGGTGAGTCCTTGCACAGCCCCCCACAAGCCCCTTCCTAGAGTGAGTCCTTGCAGAGTCTTGCCACATAGTGCAGTAAGAAAGTCTTTTCAGGATGAAAAATGCTCTCCAAGTAGAATCAAGTGGGGCCAGCACTGCTGCCTTAACATTTTGCTGCTTTGTGACTCTAATGGGCTTCCTTAGGGCAACAGCATAAGGGATCATTTTCACCAGCTAAAGGAAAATGACAGGAAAACAAAAGCAGTGGCAATATTCTGTCACAGCAGTGACTGGCCTATTGCTGTCCCTCCTATTCTATCAGAAGTGTTCTCCTAGCTCACGCCTCTGAAGCTTTTCTGGTTATTTCTTAGGTAGTTCCCCTCAGATGCTAACACTGTAACCAAGGCAGTCACACTGCCGAGGCAGAGAAGCAAGAGCTCTCTTCATTCTCCCTTCCCCAGGACAGGGGATTCTCAGTGTGGCTCTTCAGTTAGAATGTACCAAAACAGAAAAACATTAACCACAGAAAGAGCGCTTGCCAGTTAAGGATAGTCTCAGTCCTCAGCAGTTAAGTCCAGGTGGGGTAGAGGGAGAGTCACCATTACAAGTGAATCTGGCACCTATGGCAATCACTTCTGATTTGATTTATCCAACTTCAGCATCTTTTTTGATGTTAATCAGTTATTAGAAATCTTTCATTCTGTGATTTGCTTAAACCTTTAAATAAATTGCACTTTAAAGGATTATTTTTTAAAATCCATTTTAAAATTTAAATACACACATCAGTGTTGGTTACTATGCAGAAAGAATGTCATTGTATATAGTTTCATGTAATCTGTGATACATACTCGGCTGTATTTTTTATTAAAATAAATCATGTCAAGAAAGTATGTTGTGACTTTGCTAGATTATTTCAGATGAGATCTTCTATAGTATATTTTGCGAAGAAATGTGTCATAAAGTACACTCCCTCCTACCCTGTCTCCTTACCTCCTTTGTAATTGCTAGGAACCCTTACTATGTAGAGACCATCAGTATGCGTTCATAACTTGTTTAAACCAACCCTTCCCACCAAGTTCTAAAAAGGCTCATATATGGCAGGCATATCCGGTCTTGTCACTGTGAGGAGCACTTTTTCATGTCAAAAGTACACTGTGCTGGGGGTGTAGCTCAGTTGCAGTGTGCTTATATAGCTCTGGCTCACTGCCAGCACTGTATCAACTAAGCATGGTGGCATGTGTCTATAGCAATTGGGAGGTGGAGGTAGATGGGTCAAAATCTCAAGGTCACCCTCTACTAATTAATGAATCTGAAGCCAATGAGACCCTACCTCAAAAAAAAAAAAGTAAATGAATGAAGAGGCTGTGTACAAGTGCTGTGGACTAGTGACCAGTCAGATAGAAACCTGAATCCAAGTGTGTCTGCTTTCATTTTTTTCAATTTTGGGTACAGTTTCAGATATGTGAATAAAAGCAAATAGTTAGGTTCCGTGGGTGTAGTAGAGCAGTTGGCTAACATGCATATGGTCCTGGAAATTTAAAAAAACAAAACCAAAAAACCCTTCAATTGTGGTGGCACAAACCTTCAATGCCAGTTCTTGGGAGGCAGAGGCAGGTGGATCTCTATGAGATCCTGGTCTACAGATAGTTGTGGGCCAGTCAGGGATACAATGAAATTCTTTAAAAAAAAAAAACTAAGGAGGCTATGATTGCTTTATAGTGTATCAAGTTATTTTCCTTTTAACACTAATTTCTTAATAGTACTCCAAGACTTCCACATCCACCAGGCGTTGGTGCCACACACCTTTAGTCCCAACACTCGAAGGCAGAGGCAGGAGGATCTCTGTGAGTTCAAGGCCAGCCTGGTCTATAGAGCTAGTTCCAGAATAGGCTCCAAAGCAGTAGAGAAACCTGTCTCAAAAAAAAAAAAAAAAAAAAAAAAAAGAAAGGGGGGGGGGGGAGAAAGAAAGAAAAAGAAAAGACTTCCACATCCATTATTTCACTAATATAAAAATACAGTTATTCCCCGGGTGGTTGTCATCAATGTTAAAGCACAAGGGGAACATTGGTGGATTCCTGGCAGGAGAGGGTGACCTGGGGGGGGGGGGGAGGGAGGGAGACAAACATACAAGGCAAATAGAGTTTAAGTGAGAAGTTTTATTGAAGGGGGGGAGAGGGAGGTAAAGAGAGAACAGAAAGAAGAGGGAGACAGGAGAAGTCCTGTCTGCTCCAGGGGAACAGTGGGAAAGATAAGTTGGTGGGAGTCTTTTTTTAAAGATCCAGGGTCCATACACCTGCCATGCACAGGTGGGTGAGAGGTGAGGCCAGGTTTGTCTGGATTACAACAGTGGTATCTGTTCGTGCCTTTAATCCAAACATTTGAGAGGCAGAGGCAAGCAGATCTCTGAGTTTGAGGCCAGCCTGGTATACAGAGTTCTCAGACAGCCATAGAGAAACCTGGTCTGGGGATGGGGGAGATATAATTACTCTTAGGTAGGAAACTCCTTTATTCTTTATCAAAACAACTTAACAGAAAATGTAGATAATATACTTTTTAAATATATAAGTTATCTTCTGGGGTATATCTTTCACCAGGACTCTGCAACATTCTTGCCCCTTGTAGTGAAAGAGGGAAAATATTTATAACAATCTTATTCAAAGACTGAACCAACTGTAACAGACAAAGGAAGTATAGCATCTAGGGCGGGGAGTAGAGTTTTCCACACTCATAAGCGTATTTAAACCAGCACAGAGACACCTGCTGCCGTGTTTGGGTTGACTTTATAACTAGGAAAGTTTCTCAGTACACATCAGATGAAGTCCCAATAAGTATTTTAAATAAATCTCAATGACTTGATATTCCAAGTCCAAATTAGACATTCAGTGTCTTCTTTATTGCAAAAATGATGTCTTTGACCTGAGGTATGGAGTTGTCTTCTAGGATCTTTGCATAAGGCATAGGGACATCAGCACCAGTGACACGAACAGCAGGAGCATCAAGGAAATTGAATGCAGGACCTGGGGAAGAGAAGGCTCACCTGAGAGGCTGATTTGGGACTTGGAAAGAGAAAACAAGGTAATGAACTAACCCTAGTTATAGGTCACTGCTTTCGACTTAACTGAAGGACAAAAACCCTAGACTGACAAATTCGGTCACCCCTAGCTTGATCTTCTTCTAGTTGGTAGTCAAGTACGCTGTTTACTACAGCTTGATTGTATCCTAGAACCAGTTTCTTTGAAATACCTTCCATGATTCTGGCACAAATCTCAGCTCCCACTCCAAATTGTGGCCAGCCTCCTTCCACAGTTACAAGGTGATTTGTCTTCATGACACTGGCTTCTATGGCTTCAATGTCCATTGGTCTGATAGTACGCAAATTTATCACCTAAAGATGCAGTAAATAGGCTTTATAGGATCCAAGAGACAAGTACAACACTGACCCCAAAACTTTTTTGTTTTTGTTAACCTCTGGATCTAGGAAAATTGAACCCACCCACCAATAGGTATACAATCATAGAGACTAAAAGGAAAAGCAGTGTAGTAGTGAAAACCTGTAATCCCAACACTTGGGAGGCTGAGGCAGGATGACCACGTCTGAGGATAGTGTGGGCTACACAGCGAGACCTTGTCTTAAACAAAAAGTAAATGAACTTATAGAAACATGTATTCCCATCACAGGAAGCTTTGCTCACATATAGGATTCACTTACCCTCCTTGGTTTCATCATCTCTTATTAAAATAAATAGTTGAGTGCTTAATGTGTACCAGGCCTTACACCATCATACCCTATGGAGTAGAATCCTCATTTTATAGTTTATGAAACACAGTAAGTAATACTTTCCAAGAAGAACTACTTGGTAGGTTCTACGCAAGAGATTAGATTCAATTACTTCTGAAGTCCAGCTCCAAGACCAGATCTTGTGAATGTGCGATTGTATGTGCACACATATAAGATGACCTCAGGTTTATTTTGCAATTGCTCTCCATCTTTTTTTTTTTTTTTTAAGAAATGGTCTCCCAGGCTGGAGAGATGGCTCAGAGGTTACGAGCACTGGATGCTCTTTCAGAGGTCCTGAGTTCAATTCCCAGCAACCACATGGTGGCTCACAACCATCTGTAATGAGATCTGGTGCCCTCTTCTGTCGTGCAAGCATACATGCAGGCAGAACACTATACATAACAAATAATCTTGTTAAAAAATAGAAAGAAATGGTCTCTCAGTGAATCTGGAGTTAACTAATTGGTTAGACTGGCTGGCCAAGCATCAGGGATCCTCCTAGCTGTCTCCCCAGGGCTCATGCTGTCATGTCTGGCTTATTTTGTTTTTGTTTCTATGTATGTCCTGGGGATACAATCCAAACTCAAGTCCTCTATAGAAGGTACAGAGAGAGAGAGACTGTGTTGTGTATGTGTTCAACAGTTCTCTCTACCTACAACAAGCCACCTCACCAGCCTTAAGTCTTACAAGGAGTTTCTGATTTAAAGAGTGAGAGAGAGAGTGTGTCTGTGTGTGTATGTGGTGAGAGAATGTCCACTTACCTCACATTCAATTCCTTCCTTAGACAATACTGCTGCAGCTTCCAGGCAGTGGCCCACTGGTCTTGAATGGGCAACTACAGTGATGTGGGTCCCTGAAGTAAAGTGGTCACAGATTAGAGGTCAGTGGAACTAATGTAGCACGGGTGATTCTGCATCGAGCTATAGCACTTGTCTTATCACACCTTCACCTTATTTCAATGAGCTAAGCAATGAGGTGGTATTCCTGGACATGAAATACACATGTACCACACAGGGATCCAGGAGAGCCTACCTTGAACTCATTTATCCTTTACTTTTTAAGTCAGATTACAAGGCAGTAACTTCTGATCTATGCAAACACAAGGGCTACCGTAAATGTAATGGTTAACGTATACTAAGGTGTTCTTACCTTGCCTTTCAATTTTGGCTTTTCCAATAGGAATCAAAAAATCTTTTGACTGAGCTTCTGTAGGAAGTTCAAATGCAACTCCATACATTAGTTCATTCTCCAGCACCACCACTGCAAGACATTATAATAAGTGCTCAAACAAACAAGAAACCCAAAAAAATGCAGACAAAATGACCAGGAATGAAACCATTCATCTTCTGAATACTAAGGAGTCTTGCCTGTCAGTCCAGAAACTTCAGGATGGATTACATGCTGACACATGCAGCTTGGTCAGTATAATTCTATCTGCTAAGGTTAAGCCAATGGTGTGGGTACACAAGTAACCAGCACCGTACAGTGAAAGGGAAAAGCATACTTCTATCTTTACTGTCTGTAAGTCATTAGCACTCTATATATGCTGTGCTACACCTCACTAGATGCCCTGATCCTCATATGCAGAGTTCATGTCAGTTTTAAATGTTATTGTGCTGACCTGGATTATCATCACGAATTGCCGATTTAATAAGTCCTTTTGCATCCTCAGAATTCCAGGGGCTGACCACTTTTAACCCTGGGCAGTGTCCATACCATGCAGCAAAGCATTGTGAGTGCTGAGCAGCTACACCTGCTGAGGCACCATTGGGCCCCCTGAATACTATGGGTACAGGCTGGAGGCCGGCAGACATGTAGTAAGTCTTAGCAGCTGAGTTTATAACCTGGTCAATGGCTTGCATAGAGAAGTTGAAGGTCATAAATTCACAGATGGGCCGCAACCCAGCCTGTCAAGGAGAAACATCAATGTTAAAAAGATAAACAGAACAAGCAAGACTGCTAAATAACCACTCCACTCTTCCAATATTACAAACAATATTTTCTTTCTTTTCTTTTCTTTCTTTTTTTTTTTTGTCGGTTTTTCAAAACAGGATTTCTCTATGTAGCCCTGGCTGTCCTGGAACTCACTCTGTAGACCAGGTTGGTCTTGAACTCACAGATCTGCCTGCCTCTACATCCCAAGTGCTGGGGTTAGGTTAAAGGTGAGTGCCACCATACCCAGCTCAAACAACATTTTCAGAAGATATACCAAAGGGAATCTCCTTAGATGACCTTCATAAATAAAAGTACATACCATAGCTGCACCAACAGCGATTCCAGCAAAGCCCATCTGTAAAGCAAACATCAGCCTAAGAAAACATCCACAGAAATTAAAACTGAATACTCAACTAGTTTCTCAAAGCTGGTCTGGAAGGCTTACCTCTGATATGGGGGTGTCTATGATCCTCTTGTCACCGTATTTCTTCCATAGGCCTCTGCTAACCTACAATTAAGATTTAACCCCATGACTTCCAAGTGTTTGTCAGGGCAAATCGGTACTTTTTAATTCTAAATCAGATTTACCTATTTCAGTTACCTTGTATGCACCATCATACTGGGCGACTTCTTCCCCAAGCAGAAATACCTTTTCATCTCTTTCTAGTTCTTCATCCATACCTTGATTAATAGCTTCACGAACTGTCAACTGTCACAGGGGTATTTATATAAACAGGAAATAAGCTAAAGGATTATTTAGATACTATGGAAATCCCCTTCTTTATATTTATCTAGGCTTCCCACAACACAAAACATAATGAACACTCAACAGGTAATCCCCCTTTAAAATTCCTACACTCTGAAGAGACAAGATGGCCAAATCTGACAAATTTGATTCTGGTCACACATGGTGGAAGGAAAAAACTGATTCCCTGGAAGTTGACCTCAAGTGCACATGTGCACGCCCACACATTCACAAAGCAAATACTTGGCATCGGTGGTGCACACCTTTAATCCTAGCACTGGGGAGGCAGAGACAGGAGGATCTCTTGTGAGGTCAAGGCCAGCCTGGTCTACAGAGCTTATTCCAGGACAGGCTCCAAAGCAATACAGAGAAACCCTGTCTCGAAAAAAAACAATACAAAACAAAACAAAAAACCCCAAAAACAAAATTCCAAGAACTTAAAAAGCAACACTCTATAACTAATCCACCCTGCCACTAATCCTTCACTAGGTGTTAATGAAAACTTACAGAACACTTTGGTTGTATTGTTTGATATACACCCAGGAAACAACCACCTAAACTACCTCATAGGCAGTTTCCTAAGCAGAAAGCATGCTAGGCTGTTTTTATCACTACACTTGGAGTACCAAGAGGCAGAGAACTAGCAAAGAAGTCTAACTAAGGGTAAGTATTAAGCACTCACTATTGCCCAATGCAGGAGCTGTTGCTTTAATATGTAGAATGGTAAAACCCTCCACTTCTAGATATGTATATGCCAAAGAACAGAAAGCAGGGACTCAAGCATGTATCTGCAGCCAATGTTCTCAACCCCATTACAAACCCAGAAGGTGGAAACAAGCCAAATATATATCCTTGAATAAATGTATAAAGTATACAAAGGCTATGACTCAACCTTCCAAAGGGACAAATTCTGATGTATTCCACAATATGGGTGAACCTTGAAGCAACTGAGAGAATAAGCCAGATACAAAAGAACAAACGATTCAACTCATAACATTCTAGAACAAGCAAATTCACAAAGCCAGAAAAGTACAATATGGTATATAACAGCAGTTGGACTAGTGTGAGTTATCGTGTAACGGCCAGGGTTCTTGTTTGGGTGATCAAAAAAAAAAAAAAAAAATAAAAAGTCCTAGAAATGAATATTGTATATGGCGAATGCAATCGATGCCACTGAACTTGATATTTTAACAAGAGGTTTAAAGTTCTATTTTACCACAATTTCTCGTATGTGTGTGTGTGTGTGTGTTGGGGGGGTGTCAGGGAAAGAGCTGGTCGCTTGTTGATGCCCCTGGCTTCGCGGGGATGGGTGTCAGTGTGGGAGGCGCTGGGCGGGGACACAGGCAGCGCGATTCATTCGCAGGACGCAGGACTCGGCCGCTCCAGGGTCCGAACCCACCCGGCCATCTCAGGCCTGCGCCCAGGACCGAGGACTCCCTCCCGGCCTCACTCAGCGTCGGCGACGGTTACCTGCAGTGCCGCGGGCGCCGAGCGGTGAAAACGCCTCTTCAAAAGCCCAGAAACCTGGCAGGGAGAGAGAAAGAGGTTCAGGGAGGCCACGGGGCAGCCGCGGGCGTGCGGGGGGCGCTACCTACCTGCCGCAAAGGCCCCCGCACCAAACCAGCCACTGCCGCCATCTTGCCCGTGTCCTCTACTTGCGGCCTAATGACAACACAGAAGCGCCGCAGCCCGGGCCTTACGCAAACACCGGTGGGGAGTGGCAACCTCAGGGCCCGCCCCCATCCGGCGAAGCCAATGGAGAGTGATGACTGAGGGCCCGGCCTTCCTGGGAAAGCCAATAGCAAGACGCAATGCCAGAGGTCCCGCCCCTCGGGCTAGCAAGGCCTTTGCAAGCGTGGCCAACAATAGGGTGCGACGTCTGCGGGTCCCGCCCACCTGGCCAGTCGGGAGCCTGCAGCGTGATGCGGAGCCACCGATCCTAGAGGAAGCTTTGCCGACCGCCTACGGCAGCAGCTAGCATGCCGTGCACATGCCCCTGCCTGCTGCCTGTCCACGTGCTCAGACCGAGGATGGAGGGGCCTTAAGGCCACCCCTTTGCGGGCACTGCAGGCCTTGAGTACCACGTGGCTCTTGCCCACAGTCCAGTGGAGGGGGAACGAAATAAAAAGGAAAGAAATGGACATGAATGCTCCTCGGTGTGGTGGAAAAGAAAGTTTATCATATAGATATATGGGAGAGCATACCCAGAGACATCTGGCAGAGCCCTCGTCTTTGTACGAATGGGCGCTGACCATTGACTATAAACTATAGCTTTGAAGTATGCATTGTGTCGACTGTGTGCCAAGTATTGTGATGTGTGCTTCATTAAGTGATTGAGGAAGTTATGATCATGCTGAATTTAGATAGCAAACCCAAGTCCCAAATGCGGGGCAAACGGCTGAGGTGCGCCTATTTAACTTATCAAAGCCACCAGGTTCTTCCAGCATCTTTCAGTACTTTGGAATGAGTTGGTATGTCTAGTATACCCTACCCTTCACCCTGAACTTCCCAGCCCTAGGGCTGAGGTGCCCTAGCCCCCAGAGTCTGTTTTCTATATAATCCAGACATTTTGGTTACCAGCCCATTTTTTACCTTTTGGTCTCATGACTGCAACACCTGGTTCTCCTGTTTCTTCTCCTCTCCTCACACTGCCCAGTTCAGTCTGGTCTTGTCCACTCCGGACTCCCCAGGTGTCTCTGCCTCTGGCTCTCCCTCACATCTACAGTCCTTCACCATACCAAGGAGCAGTTGTGTCCTTTTCTATTTATATTTTTTCATTCAATACCCAGATTGGAGAAGAAGTCTAAAGCCTAAAGACTTGGTAAGGCTAGATAGAGATAGACATTTGGGAATGGCTGCATAGATATGACCTTTATTTTCTGTATTCTATCCCATCGGTAAATGGAAAAGTAAATGGAACACTGAGATAAGTGTTCTGGGATCAACCCCTCCCAGATCTCCCTCACTGCTGTCATCAGGTGGTCACTTTGCAAGAAATATCAAATGTGAGATGGGTGGTGGTGACATGCGCCTTTCATCCCAGCCCTGAGGAGGCAGAAGCAGATGGATCTCTGAGTTTGAGGCCAGCCTCACCTACAGAGAGTTCCAAGACAGCCAGGGCATCAAAGAAATCCTGTCTCAACCCCCCAACCCCACCAAAAAAAGAAAAGAAATAGCAAATATGCAAATAAAAGGATATTTTCTATCAAATACTATAAAAACTTGTGCTTAGGACAAGGACTTTTTAATCTTCCCTGCTTTGAAAGACTTTCATGGGCAGAGATCCACCTGCCTCTGCCTCCCAAGTACCACGATTAAATTTACCTCTTATTATCCCTAGTTTTAGTTTTTAAAGTGATTTGGAAGGCTGGGTGTGGTAATGCATATCTATAACCCCATCTATAACCCTAGCTGTCAAGAGGCTAAGAACCCGGAGTCTTGGGCTATAAAGCAAGACTTATTTCAAAACACACACATACACTCAGGCTGTGAATGTTTTGCCAGTACTAAGTTTCAAGGTCTTCCTTTGAAAGTTTTGAAAATAGATATATGTCTCATACTGGGATTAAAGGCGTGAGCCCCATACCTGATTTTATTAATGTTTTAAGAAGAGATTTATTTTTATTTTATGTATATTTTGTCTGTATGTATATCTGTGGACCATGTGCATGCCTGGTGCCTGAGGAGGCCAAAAGAGAGCATCTAGTGTCACAGAACTGGAGTTACAGATGGTTGTAAGCCACCAAGAATCAAATCCAGGTACTCTGGAAAAGCAGCCAGTGCTCGTAACAGCGGAGTTATCTCTGCAGTCCTATTATTTGTATTTTTAAAGCAACTGGCCCAGGGTTTTGTATGTTGATTTGCTGAATTAAGTAGCCATGTTGCTGCTGTGACAAGGTAACTCAGGGAAGAAGAAAGGGTCTCTCTGGCTCACAGTAAGAGTGCAGTCTGTCATGGTGGCGGAAGTGATGGCGGCAGGAGCTTGAGGCAGCTGGTCACAAAGCAGAAGCGCTGGTGCTCAGCTCGCTTTCTCCTTTTTCTTCAGTCTGGTTGGTGCTATCAACAATTCAGGGGTCCACCTCACTACCCCGATCTAGAAACTCCCTCACAGGCATGCTTGGAAGGCTTGCCTACTAAGTGATTCTAGATCTTGAAAGAACCAGCCTCCCCGACCCCTTGCTTTAGCAGCCATGATAGGTTGCATAAACGACTCAAGTACTTGCCTGACCTTGCCCCTCCCACCAGCCACTAGGAGGAACCAATCAGAAGTTAGCTGATGGGGCTGTGCTTTACTGTACAAGTAGCACAGGAGTGCTGGGCACAGCATGCAACCATCCTGGGAGGGCCTACAGACCATAACAACCAGTTGACCAATCAACACAGAACAGGTCGCCCAAGCCTGAAAGCACACCAATCCTGAAACTGTTGCACATCCCTAGACACACCCCTTACACCACCCAATAAGTTCCCTGCCTTGGGAAAGGGCCAGAATTAATACTGTTAGCTCATTAAACAACAATGTTAGGCTTTGCTTTTACATTGGAACTGGTCTCTTGGTGATTTGGGGGGTTCAGAATCTGGGCACAATAATCCTGTCAAAGTGACAATGAATATTAATACTACAGTACCTTACATCTTCCTCTATTTTGAGAATATTAATGCTTTTAATTTAAGCAGGTATCTAGAGTGTGAGGACTATGTCTCTAAGGATTCAGGCATTATTCTGACCTGCCTGTCACCTGGCAGAATGCACTCAGGCAGTACCCTGCTCAGCATGCAGGAGCAATGGGAGGACCCCTTTGAAAGAAAGAACCCCTCTCCTACATAATGCTCTCTTCACCTCTTTCGCACTGTTCCCCTGGGGCAGATAGGACTTTTCCTCTCTCCCTCTTCTGTCCTTTCTCTGTCTCTGTGTCATCTCTTTACCTCTTTTCTTACCTCTCCCATAAAACTTTCAATATCATGTCTACAGGTTTCCCCATCTGCCTGCCCTCCATCACCTGCCCCGGGAGGGACTTTGATCCTCGTGGTTCCAGAGAGGGACTGGGGACCCACCACCTGCGATCCCAACCCAGACCACATTATTCCTAACAATAGCAATGTACCAACCTATAGGCCCCAAGTTAGGAATGTTGAAAGCTTTGGCAGTATTGGTCCCATAGTGCATCCTCTGTTGCCAGTTAGTGACCTAAAGAGATAGCTATTTGGTATCTCAGTTCACAAACTCTGTGGTATGCTGTTCAGGATGAACTCAGGAGTTCAAACACAACTTCCTGGGGTGTTTCTCTTCTTCACCTCCATCTTTTTTTTTTTTTTTTTTTTTTTTTTTTAATCAACCCTATACTTTCTGACCATGTTGAGCACACCTACAGTGTTTTTTCAGGAAACTCTCTTAGGATCCTAAGAAATCATTGGTGTACATGGTGGGATAGGATGAAGAGATCAGAACTCAAAGACCCTTGAAAATGGTGAGGAATTTACCATTTTTCCTCTGCAGTATTACTCAGCCCTGACTCAGAGGCTTCAGGCAGAGCCACCTTAGAAGTCTGCTTTCTAATTTGAGGGAGGGGGGGCAGTGGTGTGGACCGCTTGGCAACCATTATTGCTTGATGAAATTGCAACATTTTGACACTGCAGACCACACTTGTCCAGCACCTTTTTACTTTTATTTTAATGATTCTCAACTATTAATGCCTTTCCCTTTGGGAAATTTTGTGAAGCCTTTGGTAAAGAATAAGAACGTGTACAATGGCAGCCTCCTAAACAAAATAATTCTTTGGGAAAAAATTCCCCACCACCTCAGAACCAGGAATTCCATTTTGCCCTTCTAAGGACACCAAGGACAGGAAAGTTAGAGATTTACTAGGCACACTTGATCCCAAGGATGGAATGCCTACAATTCAAATGCAGAGCCTGAGGCCATTAAAGGCAAGGGTTACGTTAATAAATACAGAGAAGTCAGAAATGTTTGGTATAATGGGGAAAGAGTAAGACATCAGGACATTCCCTTTTGGGAGCATGATGAGAGGGACAGGTTCATGTAGTAAGACTAAGAAATTCAGTATAGTGTCTGCTCCCCAAGGAGTCCTTTTCCCAAGGTCAGTCATTTGGATAAGAAGGGTCTCCATCCCTTAGGGGAGGTGGGGCTTGAGGAAAGTTCCTACTTGATAAAGCAGTTATTCTTATCTCTGGCAGGAGGAATTCATGACCTTTCATTGACAAGGTCAAGACTAGATTCCTCAATCCCTGATGTCAAGCCACACTCCAGTTTACTTGCTTCTCTTTTGCTCTCCTTTAATCCTGTGTGCAACTATAGAGTTTAAAAGGTATAGTCTTCTCTGTGAGTTTGAGGCCAGCCTGGTCTACAGAGCTAGTTTCATGACAGCTAGGAGTGTCTCAAAAGAAACAAACAAAACCAAAAAGAAAGAGTAGTCTTTTCAACTAAATGCTGCTGGAAGCCATTGTGATTTCATTCTCATTTTGTGCCCCTCCCCAACTCCAAACCTCCTCTTTGTGACCTTAACACACTCTCACACTCACACCCCACCAAAGCAGGCCTTGTGGAGATGTGCTAAGACTCTCTTCCCCTGTGTTCCCGGGCCTCTCCTGCCCCAGCCTACATGCAGTTAGGTGGTCCTCCGTGTTGTTGGCAGCAACAGGTAAATGGGCACTTGGAATTGAGGAG